GGTGGCGAGGCCAAAATCGAATATTTATGAGTCTATTCAAAAACGTCCTAGAAACGGGAAAGAAGTGGCTGGAGGTATCAGGGGGAGAATGGCCGAATCCCTGGAGTGGACGGGGTTCGCCAGATGGAGATGACGATGTTATGTTATGGGCAACCCCTGATGGCATGGAGCATTCCCTAACCAAGCACTATCCCAGAAAGCAAGCTCCACTCTTTTCAGATCGGACAGTGCTCTCTGGAATTGCTTTCTATTCGTTCTGATGGAGGTGGTATCGGAGTAAATTAGCGTCCTCATAAAGCCAGTGAGGTTATGATTAGACCGGAGGCCCTAGATAGGTATGCTTTCTTATCGACTTTCTGTGTCATCCCCTGACCAAGCACTATCCGAGGAAGTCATTATTAGAATGAAACAGTTTCATGTTATATTCATCGAAAATAAATCCCTGTTTGTTTGTACCAATCTTTGTCCCTACTACATAAGAAGGAGGATGCCCGGCGTAGCCGGGCATTACATAAGAAGGAGGAGAGCCCGGCGTTAGCTGGGCGATCCGACTGGTGTATATATATCCTACTATATGTAATTCGCTAAGTGTGCCTGTTGGTTTGTCGATGTGTCTGTGTGTCGGTGTGTGTGTGACCGGAAATTCATAACTCCTGTTCCCGTGGACCTAGAGCGTTCAAACTCGGTAAGATCACGGGAGACGGGATGGGAACACTCGTGGTGGGTGGCACGATGTGACCTCTCTCACAGGGCGCGAGTGTGCGCGATGGAAATTTCGGGCAGCAAATTCATAACTCTTGTTTACTTTGAAATTTTGTTGGACTATACTTTTCGTATTAACAGTGGAAGCCGAGCATTTTAATAAGTGATGTGGAATATGTGATATATCGTAGGTATTCTGTGAAAGGAACTGATAACTGATAAGAGAAGATAAGGGACCTGAGAGAGACCACCTACCTATCACAATCCTAGTGTCCTCGGTATTTACGATGTAGCTTCGACCGTTCAGTATGTTTCATACGATGATACCAGAAGTGGTGACAAAAGTGATAGGGACCGATTAGCGGCAATACGATAAGCAGATGAGAATTTTGTTCGTTTCTTAATATTAGATTACGACGCAACCCATCAAGGTTTGGGACTCAATGAAGGATCTTTTTTGCTCGACATCATTTGCGACAAAACTCAGTCGACCGCCAGTAATCTGGAATTTTCGACTAGTGATATCTCCGTAAAGGAGAAGATAAAGATATCTATAAGATAAAGACATCTGATAACGGTGCTATCATCACTCGAAACACCTCCAGAGCATCATCTTTGGTTGCCTAACAGTTGAATTTGCAATGGGTATTTCTTTTCAAAAAATAGAGTAGAAGGTCGACACTTCCAATCAAAAGCGTGTGCACCGGCTTACGTAAATACCATTTGCACCGCCCTGTTAGTCCTGTGTCAAAATTCGTGTTCAGGAAACTGATATTTGTTTCAAAGAAGTAGTGGAAAGTTGTCGCCATTAAGAAAATGATCTTGTATGTAGCAAAACATAAAGTGACTTTCTTCAAAGCGCACAGATGCGCTGAAGATGAATAGAACAAAAAATGGTAAACTTCGCGTGACTAAGTTCAGCCTTGCAGAATCCATTTACAGGTACTAACGTTCATGGAAGACGTTATCAACTCAATTGAAAGAGTGAGAACTGGTGCTATCAAGTTGACCGACGATATGAAAGTTGATTTACATATTGGTGAACATACCAGAGATGCCCTAAGGTGAGTAAGGTTTAGAGTTGCAACTGGCATAACTTACGAGGTGCGGTTTAGGCGGTGGTTGGACTCAAACCGTGGGTATCACGCAGGATATACTAAAGTTGGCTACGCATTACACCTTGCAAGAGAACAGCTTTCGGCAGGCTTTTTTCCTAATCCTTATCACATTTCTTGCTAGCAGTTTGTCCTGATGAATACAACTCAGGATTGACATAAGAAACCCTCTTGCTTGTACCGATTCCCATCACGTGAAACTAGATTCCTCTATTGGATTGCCTTGTTATTGCCAGCGAACATTCAATAGTGAGAAGGGGGAAAAATAGACTTGAGCTTTTAGGAGCGTTTGTTTATTGGTAAGATATGCTCACTTAAAACTTGGGAAATCCGGCAATCGCGCCATTTCGGCACTCCACTTCACGAACTCCGGAAAATAAAACTTCATTGCAGTAGAAATGTCTAGCTTTTCAATATATCCAACAGAGCAGAGTATTATTTTAACAACCGTGCACGAGGGTGCTAGAATCAAAGTTCCGTGCATTGGATCCATGCACTCCTTTTTTGTGAAGTCGTAGGCATGTCCACCTCTTCAGACAATTCACTGTCAGATAGCTACACTGAATTTTTCGAGAGTCCGCTGAACCTGAAATCCGCTACTAATCTCTATATCGACTACGATAAAACCATCCCTCAACAACCAAAGCGTTCGTTTTCCGGAAACAAACATTCAGCGTGTAATCTCTCTTAAGGAGGTTGCTATAAGAACAGTAGAATAATGTTTTTCAAAGATCAGCGGCAAGAATGAGACGCTCGTGATTTTTCTGTGCCGGGGTGAAAATTGACAAAGATCTGTACTTAAAGGGCGTCCTGATGAACGTGAAAGCAATGATCATACTTCGTTTTCTGAAATAGCTCATAGTCCTCTCAGCAGGACGCTACTCCAGCCCACAGATGCAAGCTCGGTGTCAACGGTGCCAACGTTAGCTGCCCGACTTCATTAGCAAATGGGGGAACGGAGTTAGAGTGAAATCATTTGAGGAGTGGAATCATTAGTGGAATGGCCATCCTGCTTTACCGATCTTGATTCACTTGAATCCCCCTTATGATCCCTGATTAGAAGAATGTGGACTGTCCCAGTTTGGAGTCCTAGAAAGCAAGACTAAAGAACGGCTGGGAAGAAATGGAGCAGGTTACCCGCTGCCACATGCGATCAGGTCGAGAACAAACTTTGCGCCTCTATCCGCGCTTATGGAGGATATTTTGAAATGCGACTGTAGCGTGTTGTAGCAAATGGTAGCTAATGTGCATAAGAATTCCATCGTCTTTCGCAGCTGAGAAAATTCAAATATATTGCTATGAATAGGCGCCTATAATTTTGGGACACCTTGTATTGAAATATCCCCGAACTTCAAACGCGAGGCTGCTACATTTGGCTTACCTAAATATAAGGCACCTACTCTCTGGAAGTCTGTGATCTGGGCATCTGTAACAGGAAGAGCAACAGGGGTCGAGTCAGCATTCCGACTTTCTCAAAAAAAAGTAGTGAGTAAGGAGTAAAATAACACTAGTGCAATGCTGGGTAGGCTTGGGATAATTTTTGGTGAACATGTGCTTCTTACAATATTCCAATTAGAATCTTGCTCTCTCGCATTCTTCTTTGACATCCATGTAACTATAACCTTATAAAGTTTACCATGCTTACTTTCAATCTTCACCACAAGCAGGGCTTCCCTTCCTAAATTCAGTAAGTTACTTTTACGTCTTAAAAATTCAGAAAGAGCATTCCACGCAGAAAATCGTCATACTGGTAAGCGACGGGGATAGAGACTATGGACCATTAGGTTGTCATCTCACTTACGGCTCACCGTTTGGAAGCAGCGGATATATCTTCGGCGGTCATTTATCATGGGGACCACATGCATGCACACAGCATGAAAGGCATTTGCTCAGTTTTGATCAAGAACAGCAAGCAACTAAGGTGAGTTAAAGGTTGTCGGATCAAAGTCACACGCATTTCCTGTTTGATACCTTTTCCAGGTGCGGAATGCAGGAATAAGAATTATCTACGTTGTTGTGGGAACTGGTGGCTTTGAGTACCTACTGAGAAAAGCCAAAATTTTTAGAATGGCTGGAGGAGATAACCGCAACGTTATTATTGTCGGCGGATTCAGTGTTAGTCATTTAATATCTGGAGTTTTGTTCATATCAACTGACGACTTTCGCTGAATTTCGACATGGTTCGAAGTCCTTCTAGTCAGGTTTCTTCAAACTGCAGCCAAGATGGAAACAAGCTTTATTTAGTCAACTTTTCGGTCTCGTCGCCTCCGTGCGATCCTGGAAAGCCAAACATATGTATGTGCGATTCATCCTCAATCACCATTTCAAGCTTCAAGAACAATAGTCTATACTCAGTGGTCCCAGATAGACATTGCAATAACGGAACACTTTAACCCACATAAATTCACGATCGGACTTGATGTCCTGACGTGATTTGATGACGAAGCCAAGAGGAAATGGCCTGAGGGGTACGGAAGGTCGAGGTCTCCGGCAATCATGAAACGGTAAATGCTTTGAAACTGTAGATTTTACAAAGTTTACCTGCTCTCCATTGCGTGATCTGTCCTAATGGGCAGGAGTGTGCCAGCTTTACAACAGGTGCAATCTACCCAATCGCATACAAGCTACCTGAGGAGGAGTATGTTGGAGATTGGGCGACCCCTGTCTGCGAGGGCAACGAACACCTATTGGGTCAGGGTCGAGCTTGCCGCTCACCGCATACAGTCCCATGGAAGTGCTGTGTGTGAAATCACAGTTAAGATATTATTGTGAGAACCCCTTGGTTTGTAGCACAAGACCCTTGAAGCATTGTTCATCAGAGTTAGGTCTCACAGAATGAAAAGGAAAGGCGAGTGCCCAGCCATAACTAACAGACTTGCGTCATTTCTGAATCATTTGAGGCCCTCTGCTCCTCATTCAGAGTAGCGGTCTTAATGTGGGCCGTAGTGTTTATTGCGATGTTTCTTCAAGACCACTTAGTCTAGAGAGCGATTGTTGAGGCTTGAAATGGGGTTTGATGATAGATCGTACTTATCTGTGTCTTCCCAGGCTCTGATGAAGGCGACAGGGCCGAAACGTTATTTGAATAGAGATTACTGTTGACTTGGCTGCGGTTTCAAAAAGTCTGAAATTTTCATACAAATTCTGTACCAGGAATACGAGCTTTTGGTCTAAGGCCTCAGCGTGCGATACAATTGAAATTGACTTCGAATTATTATAATTGCGTGGTTCATGTCAATCAATGTTTTGCCCTGCGCTAAGAAAAATCTCGTTGCTGGTGCATTTAAAATGTTCCCTCCAGTCAACAAACCGCAGTTTGGAAGCGTCATTGAACTAGCTCTGAAATGGTACTCACAGTTGTGGATCAGAGTCAATACGAATCATATCTTTACAAAAATAATCTGTATCTTTTCAGCAGTTGGATAAGGAGATCGTGCGTCGAACTGTCGAAACTATTTGCAATAAAATCTCTTGATACTAGCCATTCCACCAATAAACAGATTCTTCATGATGTGCTTGTTCTTGAACATGTATTGCGATAAGATTGTACTGACTGCTGTTTACAAAGGGAGGCTATTTAGGTTCCAGAGATGGGAACGATTGGTCGTACCAAGTGTCTTTTGGTTAAGTTTAGTCTTGAGTCTGTGGAAGGATCACGACTGCATTGCAGGGCGGTCGATTACGTTTCAGAAATGGTGTAATAAAATTGACGGATGCGCTCGTGGAGGAAGCGTTTTCACCTAGCGGGAACATTGCGGAAAATAAGCTCATTTTACTCAACATCATCTTGTTTTCATACAGATGAAACAGGAAATGTAAGAAAGCAAATTAAAGTCATTGGTGGTCGTAAATGTGGTGTCAAGTGACGCCCCATACAACTGTGTGGAGAAGTGACAAATTTGGCTATTCAACTGAAATATTGCATGACCAGTTGGGCTACGCACGCTAATGACTGCTTTCATAGTCCGCCGGCCTGCCGGCCGGCACGCGCGCCGGGTGTGTGTGTGTGTGTGTGTGTGTGTGTGTGTGTGTGTGTGTGTGTGTGT